GGGGGAGGATTTTCTGAGGCAGGCTCGTTATGCAAACTTGGAAGGGATAAGAGAAAGAGTGTTCGGGGCACCATACGGTTTTGCCGAAGATTTAGCCGCACCAGCTTGGATAGGAATCTGACTGACATCGGGAGTTCAGTGAGAATGTTCTTCGCTGCAACAGAGGGAAAAAAATAGACACAATCAAGTTTAGACTCTTTAGAAGTTTAGAACACAACCCCTTAACTTTTGAAATACAGACCCGAGTTTGAACGCCACTGGAAGCAGTTGAGTGAAAGCACTGAAACGTCACAATTCTGAATTACCTAGGGCCGGTCAGTTCGATGATAAATTCATAATATCTCAAGGCTGTCGCCCTGTTTAAGAGGAGGGGGGGGGGGGGCATGACAAAGTGCTGGCAATTGCTTTGCATGGAATACAATCTCGAGTCCGATGTGAGCACGAGTAAAGGGAACACAACATAACCAGCACAAACCTTAGCTACCACAAAAAAATAAAATAAAATAAATTGCAGAATCAACTGAGCGATTACGTACGGCAGTAACGGCACGCATTTCTTCTGCCAAAAGTTCCCAAAACCTTTCCAATTTTTCGACGAATGACGAAATGTTCACGTGTTTGTACTAACTCTGTAAGTTTGTAGTACTGTGTAGTATGTACTCCTTTTTTGAAGTTTTTTCTTTGTTTATACAGCTGCGTGACACTGATTATGTATGATGCCCCCTTCTTCTGCCAAAAGCATTCTAAATCTCCAACTTCGAGATGAAATTTCCGTATGTTTGTTTGTTTGTTTGTTTGTTTTCTTCTCCTCACATTCGTTCGTTTGTTTGTTTGTTTGTTTGTTTTATTTTCCTCATGTTTGTTTGCACTTCTCCTTTTTTCTTTTTTTGACTTCATGGCAGATCATGAATGTGAACATTGAAAATGCCCTTTGTCTTTGACTCAGTCTTCATAATTTTAAATTTTGTCAGTCACTTATGATACCTCCTCCTCCTGCCAAAACGTTTGTAATTTCTCGATGAATCTCCTCCATACTTGCGGCGCACCAGTGCGCAGTGCGGGGCGGTGCGGTGCGCAGTGCACAGTGTGCGCGCTGTGGAAGATGCGCCAGGTGCGCAAAAATATATATATACATATGTATTTATATTATATACTATATATAATAAAAAAATAAAAAAGTAAAAATAATAAATAAAACATTTATTTGTGCCACAGAGAGAGAGAGAGAGAGAGAGAGAGAGAGAGAGAGAGAGAGAGAGAG